CTGCTCGGCGTCACCAGCAGCATGTACGACGGCACTGCGGTAATTTCATACTTATTACTATAGGGATAAGGTTTATATTTTATTGTTTTGTGAAAATTGTAAAAAAAATTAAGCGTGACGAAATTTTTTATTTTTTTCCTTTTTTTTAAATTTTTTGAATAATCTAAATAGGATCTCAATTCGATTGTTTTTTATAGATACATTGTACACTTTATGATTTGATTTACGTGATTTTTTTGATGTGGAAAAAATTAAAAAAGAATCTTAAAAAACTAACCGGTAGGTTTTTTAGATGTTTTAAAAAGCGAACCAATCAGAGATTTTTATATTGAAAAACACATACAATAGAAGTTAGAAAATGTTTGCAAATAATTTTTAATTTTAGTTTTAACGATAAGTATCTCGTTGATTGTAGTTACCCTTAATAGCCTGATTTTTAAATAACATCAAAAAATTTATAAGTGTACTATTCACTGTGTTTTTACTAAAGGGGGAAAATAGTAAAAAAAAAACATATTTTTTTTTTATATTTTCGTGATATCCTCCTTTTTGTTTTCTAACTTAAAGATTATCAGTCAAAGGTAACATATTAAAAAAAATCGATTGTAACCCAATGCGATTTACCTTGGTACCAAATTTGAAACTTCAGGTATTTTTCTGAAGGTTTATGGATGTTATTTAGGTGATGATTATATTGTTACTCAGGTGATGATGGCAGTCGGCATCACAGCTGCGATCTGCTTAACGTTGACGCTATTCGCAATGCAGACGAAGTACGACTTCACCGCTATGGGGGGGATACTGCTTTGTGCTACTGTCGTTTTACTGCTCTTCGGTAAGTTAACTTTAAAATACAGTGTCCAGTTTGACGAAAAACTAATTTTTTTAACATTTTTTTTGTTTCATATCCAAAAATTTTTTTACTAAAAAAAAAAAATTTTGCTCCAAAAATCTTTGTTGAATTAGAGATTAAGGGCTTTTCCGTTGTTGAAGGTTCGAATCCCGCCATTCGACTCGTAAACCATTCCTAGAGCTTAGTTTAGTTGGTAAAATAAATATTAAAGAAATAATATATTTTTTATTTCAGAGAAAGTTCCAGTTAAAAATATTTTGTTCACTGTCTAATCTATATTATTTAAATGTCTTTGTTTATTTAGTACCAATATAACATGATTGACCATGATCTAGTTTAAACTAAAGGTAGATTTAAACCTGAGACGTCTTATAAGTTTATGTCGAAAGAAAAAAAAAATTAGCTTTCACCCGCGACTCCGTCCTCTTTGAATTTAAAAAAAAACATAAGTATTTAGTCTATGTGTTCTTCCAGATTATACATTTATACCAAATTTCATTGAAATCCGTTCAGCAGTTATACACAAACTCTAACATCCATCTATCTAAACTTTCGCGTTTATAATATTAGTATGATATACGACTTGAAACCGTTTAATTTCAGGTCTGATAGCAATGTTTTTGCCCGGGAATCGTATAGTGACGCTAGTTTACGCGTCTCTCGGTGCGTTGCTGTTCTCCGTGTACTTGGTGTACGACACTCAGCTGATGATGGGAGGCACCCACAAGTACAGCATCTCCC